AGGGTCAGGGTTATGTGGGAACTCTTCACAATTTCTGTTCAATTTTGCTGTGAACTGAAGAGCACTCTAAAAAATAAAATCTATTAAAAATAAATAAAAGATCCAATAGAATAGGAAAATACTAAAAACTGCTACGTCTTTAATCCATCTGGAGTTAATTTTGGTGTAAGGTGTCAGGAAGGGGTCCTGTTTCTGCCTTCTGCACATGGCTAGCCAGTTTTCCCAACACCATTTATTAAACAGGGAATCCTTTCCCCATTGCTTGTTTTTGTCAGGTTTGTCAAAGATCGGATGGTTGTAGATGGTTGTATTCCCTCTGAGGCCTCTGTTCTGTTCCATTGGTCTATATCTCTGTTTTGGTACCAGTACCATGCTGTTTTGATTACTGTAGCCTTGTAATATAGTTTGAAGTCCGGTAGTGTGATGCCTCCTGCTTTGTTCTTTTTGCATTGTGGAAGACAGTGTGGCAATTCCTCAATGACCTAAAAATAGCAATCCTGTTTGACCCAGCAATCCCATTACTGGGTATATATCCAAAGGATTATAAATCATTCTACTATAAGGACACATGCACACGAATGTTCATTGCAGCACTGTTTACAATAGTAAAGACCTGGAACCAACCCAAATGCCCATCGATGATAGACCGGATAGGGAAAATGTGGTACATATACACCATGGAATATTACACAGCCATCAAAAACGATGAGTTCGTGTCCTTTGTAGGGACATGGATGAACCTGGAAACCATCATTCTCAGCAAACTTACACAAGAGCAGAAAATCAAACACGGCATGTTCTCACTCATAGGCAGGTGTTGAACAATGAGAACACATGGACACGGGGAGGGGAACACTACACACTGGGGTCCATTGGGGGGAAATGGGGGAGGGACGGGGGGGTGGGGAGGTGGGAAGAGATAGCATGGGGAGAAATGACAGATACAGGTGAGGGGAAGGAAGGCAGCAAACCACACTGCCATGTGTGTACCTATGCAACAATCTTGCATGTTCTTCACATGTACCCCAAAACCTAAAATGCAATTAAAAAAAAAAAAACTGCTACGTAGCAGAGGACAGATAGGCTAGTTTTATAAATGTGCAGCATATAATCCAAGTTGTTTATGTATAATTAAATGATGAATTCTAGAGTATTTGATGATGGTAATAATAATGGTGGCAGTAGTTATAGTTATCAATTATTTAGCACATACTATGTGCCAGATGCTGTGCTGAACACATTACATGCATTATGACCATTATCACATTTAATATAAATAGATGCTTGAAACAGCAACTCTTGTTCATAACACTGTTGCCTATAGCAACAAATTATATATCCAATGTATCTTTTTAATGTAAGTTTTATCCAGAAAAGATTTTTGACTTTCGTGAGAAGGGTCAGCCAGTAGCATTATTGATTTGAATTACAAATTTTCTTAAAATATCAACCGTGGAACATGATTAGTACAGGCCAGTCTGAGTCACACACCAGTCAATAGTCCACAGCTGTCAGACATTTTTTTTATTGTTATTTTTTGAGTCAGAGTCTCACTCTGTCGTCCAGGCTGGAGTGCAGTGGTGCGATCTGGCTCACTGCAACCTCCGCCTCCCAGGTTCAAGTGCTTCTCCTGTGGCAGCCTCCAGAGTAGCTGGGATTATAGGCACCCGCCACCACACCTGGCTCTTTTTCCTTTTTGTATTTTTTTTTGTAGAGACGGGGTTTCACCATGTTGGCCAGGCTGGTCTGGAACTCCTGACCTCAAGTGATCCACCCACCTTAGCCTCCCAAGGTGCTAGGATTACAGGCATGAGCCACCACATCCAGCGTGACATGTCTATACCCATCCTCTGGATAGCAACAGAACCAGGCTCAGGGCTGATGATATCTGAGTATGTCTATTCCAAAGTTATGTAGATGGTGCCATTAGGTGTAACCCGCTTTTCTCCTATATATACCAGAGTAGATTATTTTTTCACAGTTCAAACTCTTTGAGCAAGACATTTAAAGCTTTCTAGTATCTTCACACTTTTGGCCTCACAGTCCTTTCTCCCTCCGTGAACTCTTGGCGTTGCACTCACACAGGGCCAATAACGTGTCCTAAAATATGCCAGGCACCTTCACTTTTCTGTTGCTTATGCTGACAAACTCTTTGTCCTACAAGGTCTAACTGAAATACCACCTTAAGCCTTTCTTGTTTGTCTCCACCTCCCACCACCTACACACACCCACTTCATCTTTGCTTTTGATTCCCACCTCACTTTGTTTTCGTTCAACGTGCGCTTCCTCGTCTCTTACATAAAATCTGCTTCCAACACTGGTCTCTTCAGTGGATTGTAAGGTCTCTGAGGGTAATAACTATAGCTTATTAGTTGTTTTTCTTTAAAGAAAAAACTCTCATTCCTCTCTGAGCAGAAAAATAGCTCATTAAACCTAGTAAGCATTCAAAAAATACTGAACTACTTAACGGCCATATTTTGACAATAGCGAATTATTGTGGTGAAGTAGCTGCTGCTAATTGTCAAACAAAATTTATATGTAGTGAATTTTCAGTTACCCACATACCAATTTTCTATAGTTCTTTTTGCAACCTTGGCTGTTTCTTCTACTTTCTAGCAAATGATTAGAAAAAAACAAACTGATTTTAATACTTTAAGCAACATGTAATGAGTGAGGTAACGTATTCCTTATAAAGTCATCTGATACATTTTAAAACCCAATAAAATTTCAGACTCTCTGCTTCATGGAAACATTTATTTATCCAACACATACTTTATTTATTTATTTATTTATTTATTTATTTATTTAGAGACAGTGTCTTGCTCTGTTGCCCAGGCTGGAGTGCAGTGGCACGATCTCACCTCACTGCAAGCTCTGCCTACTGGGTTCAATTGCTGAGGCAATTCTCCTGCCACTGCCTCCTGAGTAGCTGGGATTATAGGTGCCTGCCACCATGCCTGGCTAATTTTTGTATTTTTAGGAGAGACAGGGTTTCACTCCGTTGCCCAGGCTGGTCTCGAGCTCCTGACCTCAGGTGATCTGCCCACCTCGGCCTCCCAAAGTGCTGGGATAACAGGCATTTTTGAACACTCATCTTCTCACCACTCACTAACTCACTCCTCTTACTGCCTTTCATGGGCCTGCTCCATCTACTGGTTTCCACTCGGAACCTTAGCAACCTCTTTGCCCTCCTTTTGGTCATTTCTCCAATCTACCTCCTATTCACCCTCCCTTTTTCATTTAGACCCTCACCATCTGTGACCTGGCCCATGACCCTGCTTCTAGTCCCTCTTCCATCCACCATCAATGTGTTCTGCATGATGCTGCTAGGGTTACCTTTCTAAAACAGATACGATCTTGTTTAAAAGAACCTTTGAGGTTTGAGAACTCAGAGAAATCTATGCTCTGGGTTTCTTACTGTGCTCAAAGGCTAAAGTCCAAAAACTACAATCTGGTTTTAGCCTAATTTCCTTAAATTTGTTTCCTGCTGCACCCTCTCAGATACTAAGTTTCAGCCACCCTGAACCTCCCTGTTCCCTGAACATTCCTCTCTGCCTGTTTCCTCTCACTCCTTGAAATGTCCTCCCTTCTCTTCTCTAATGAATTGCTACTCCTCTATGAAGTCTTCTCCAAGACCCCACACAGAGTTCTCTGTGCTTTGGACTCAAATCATAACTCTGTTCTGCCATTTGACTGTGACCTAGTTTCCCCTAACTGGACTTGCTCAAGGACAGGAAAATCTCTTATTTATCTTTGGATCCTCAGGGCCTAGCTCAGTGCTCGTTACATGTTATTTGTTTGTAGAGGTGGGTTTTTGCCATCTTGCTCAAGCTGGTCTTTTATTCCTGGCCTCAAGTGATCCTCTCAAAGTTCCAGGATAATAGGCATGAGCCACCATGGTGGCTGGCCTCCAGGCCTTTTCGTTTCTTTCTTTCTTTTTTTTTTTTTTTTTTTTTTTTTTTTGTAAATTTCAAGTAGCTGGGATTAGAGGCACGTGCCACCATCCTCAGCTAATGTTTGTATTTTTAGTATAGACAGGGTTTCATGATGTTGGGCAAGCTGGTCTTGAACTCCTGGCCTCAAGTGATCCACCTGCCTAGGCCGCCCGAAGTGCTGGGATTATAGGCATGAGCTACCGCACCCAGCCTCATTCAATATTTTGAATGTACAACTCAATGTGCTCTTTATAGAATTTGAAACTAAGATATGGTAAACACATTATCTGGCATTTCAAGAAATAGGCACAGTACAGAAAGAGTTTACAAATGAATTCTGAAGGTAATTTTCAAGCCTCATTTTCACACTTAACTTTAAATCCCTCCATTCTTTCATTCCCCTCTTGTATGGGTCCTCACAAACATTGAGAAAGGACTGAAAAGGAAAAAGTAGCCCCGGAAAAAGAGAAAGGACCTAGACAAGAAGTATCTTAGCAACCAAGAGTAAAATGTGCTAAATGACTTGAAAGTGACTACCTTAAAGTCATTCTATATTTTGAAAGTTTGGTTTCCCCAGGTAGATTTCAGTTTATTTGATGTCGTTATTCTGTTTATGATTTTTGGGCGGTATGCTTGGCAAGCAAGCTACTGATTCAATGACTGTTTCAGCTTTTTTTTTTTTTTTTTTTTTTTTTTTTTTCCGGGTAATACCTCTCACTCAGCTTAATGATGGGCTGAAACTGGCAAGAGAAATGAGGCAATTTTAAGATCTAGTGCCTTAGGAAAGAAAAGGTAGAGACGAACAAAATCATCTGTTGATGTTCTGCTCTGTATTTCTTATAACAGTTATTTTGTTCTGTTTTGGAAAGTGTTGATTTTTGATCAGTATAATTTTCTGTCAAGATCCAGTTGGATCTTTTTTTAACTTTGAACTTAACTTATACTGTTGCTGGAATGCATAAGGCACTAAATAAATATTTTAGGTAATTCAACATTGACTTAAGGTTTAGATATAATTAATCAGAAACACTAAAGCGAGCTTGACTTCTACATTTTAAATTTCAGTTGTTGCCACCATCTCCCTTTCGTGGTTCCATCAGCCGCCTTCATCAAATCAAACAGGTAAGAAGACTTTCCAAATTGAGAACTGTTCATTTAAAAAAGTAAGTGTTATTTTTCTTTGTAAAAATACCTGTGTTTCAGTAATTCTAAGTGAGGTCACATATAATTAAGTTTTTATTTCTAGGAATGATTTCTTAAAAAAAGAAAACAAATTAAGAAACCCTATATTTGGCTTATTCACTATTTTAATAAATTAATAATTTCTAGAAATACTGCATACTTTTCTATCTTGAGCCTGGCTTCTTTCTTCCAGGGATCTGAAAGTGGAATGCTACACATACAAATTAATTTTCAGCTTCATAATAACCATAGGTATCATTATTTTTTTGACCCTCAGATGAGTGTTTTTGACAGATAAAATGGCCTTCATGCTGTTGTTTTGTGTTCACTTCTTAGTGATTTGAGATCAGGGACACATTGTACCTCACTGGTTTGTATTTTGCTCATTTGTGCACGTGTGTGTGTGTGTGCGTGTGTGTGTGTGTGTGTGTGTTGTTGGGTGGGTGGATGTGGGTAGGTTGGTAGGTGTGCACTCATGCACATGATGCTTAATAGCACAAGCCTAATACAGAATTCAACCTTTTAATTATCCAAGGATTAGCCACAGAACTCAAAAGATCAAATCACCACTCCACCAGAGGTGTTATTTCTTTTTTTGACCCAGTTACAAGCAGACATTTTTTCCCCCCAAGGGAGGCTAAAGTTATTCCCTTAGCACTAATAGGTACTTTACATCTGTGGCCTCATTTTATCTTGCAACAACTTCATAAGGTCAGAAACTAAAAAGGGGAGAAATTTAGCAATTTACCCAATGTCCAGAGTTGGTGAGTGTCAGAACCAAGATTTGGCCCAAAATTACTGGATTCTTTTCCAGCTCCCGTTTTGCTGTTTCAGTGGCACAAAGCCCATAATACCGTCTTGTAATCCCAGTTACTTGTCCTCCAACTCTTGCTTCCTTTCCCTCTCTCCCTTTCACCCCAGTGCCATGCCTTCCTAAGGTCAGTTTATACCCTACCAAGAAAGTATGGTAAAAACGGTTTTTTCATACCTTTTTTTTTTTTTTTTTTTTTTTTGAGACAGTGTCTCACTTTGTTGCCTTGACCCTGCTGGAGTGCAGTGGCGCGATCTCGGCTCACTGCAGCCTCCTCCTCCTGGGTTCAAGTGATTCTCCTGCCTCAGCCTCCCGAGTAGCTGGGATTACAGGCACCTGCCACTATGCCCAGCTAATATTTGTATTTTTAGTAGAGACAGGGTTTCGTCATGTTGGCCAGGCTGGTCTCAAACTCCTGACCTCAGGTGATCCACCCATCTCGGTCTCCCAAAGTGCTGGGATTAGAGGCGTGAGCCACCGCGCCAGGCCGGTTTTTTACTTTTTAGTAGGTAAAACTTCTTTTACTCCCATTTTTGTATGTATCTGTTTTAGAAATTCTTAAAGAATTCAGCGACTTCAAATGAGTAGTTAAAGTGACCTCTGGTTTATCTGTGCAATATGTTTCTTTGCTTCTCCTAAATTAAGTCAAATATTTGCAGATGGGTTATGTGTTGCTATTTGCTGATGAAGCTTGATATAAATACTAATTTACATTGGTTAGGAATATAAGTTTAATGCAGTTTATTTCCATAGTGATGTATAAACATTTTAAATGAAATACAAGTAGAAAATGAATAAGATGGGAAAATAGAAAAACATTAATTTTCAGTCTAGATACTGATTGAATGGAAAATTAAGACTTAATTTCAGCATTTTAATGGTCTGATAGATATTTTAAGTTGTATATTTCTTTTTTTTTTGAGACAGAGTCTCACTCTGTCGCCCAGGCGGGAGTGCAGTGGTGTTATCTCAGCTCACTATAACCTCACTACAACTTCCACCTCCTGGGTTCAAGGGATTCTCCTTCCTCAGCCTCCTGAGTAGCTGGGATCACAGGTGTGATCCACACCCAGCTAATTTTTTTGTATTTTTAGTAGAGATGGGGTTTCACCATGTTGATCAGGCTGGTCTCGAACTCCTGACCTCAAGTTATCTGCCTGCCTCAGCCTCCCAAAGTGCTGAGATTACAGGCATGAGCCACTGTGCCTGGCACAAATTGCATATTTCTTTACATGCATTCTTTGACTGACTTCATTGTACTTATTAAACTTAACATTTTAAGTGCAAAACAGAAATGTCTGGTTCTCTCCCCATTACATTCTGAACTTTCACTTTAACAACATTAATAAGGGCATTGATTTTATCAAAAAAGGGGAATAATATTGGCTATCTCATAGGATTGTTATGAGTATGAAAAGAATTACAACTGACCCTTTAACAACCTTGGTTTTTAAAAAGTAATTTAATTTTTACAGGTGCCATGGAGTACATGAGATACTTTGATATAGGCATGCAATGTGTAATAATCACATCGGGGTAAATGGAGTATCCATCCCTTCAAGCCTTTGTCCTTTGTGTTACAAACAATCCAATTATACTTTGTTATTTTTTAATGTACAATTAAATTATTATCGACTAGCACCCTGTTGTGCTAGCAAATACTAAGTCTTATTTGTTCTTTCTGACAACATTTTTATACCCATTAACCATCCCACTTCCTCGCCACTCCTCATTTACCCTTTCCAGGCTCTGGTAGTCATCCTTCTAATCTCTATCACCATGAGTTCAATTGTTTTCATTTTTACCTCCCACAAATAAGTGAGAACATGAGGCCGGGTGTGGTGGCTCATGCCTGTAATCCCAGCACTTTGGGAGACCAAGGTGGGCAGATCACTTGAGGTCAGGAGTTCGAGACCAGCCTGCCCAACATGGTGAAACCCCGTGTCTACTAAAACTACAAAAATTAGCCAGGCATGGTGGTGGGTGCCTGTAATCTCAGCTACTCAGGAGTCTGAGGCAAGAGAATCACTTGAACCTACGAGGAGGAGGTTGCAGTGAGCCAAGATCACTCTACTGTACTCCAGCCTGGGCTACAGAGCAAGACTCTGTCTCAAAAAAAAAAAAAAAAAAAAAAAAAAGAAGAAGAAGAAAAGATAAAAGGAGATAAGTGAGAATATGCAATGTTTGTCTTTCTGTGCCTGGCTTATTTCACTTAACATGACCTCTAGTTTCCAGTTTCATCCATGTTGCTGCAAGTGACTGGATCTCATTTTTTTTTTTTTTTTTTTTTGAGTCGTTCTCGCTCTATCACCCAGGCTGGTGGAGTTCAGTGGCACCATCTTGGCTCACTGCAACATCCACCTCCCAGGTTCAAGTGATTCTCCTGCCTCAGCCTTCAGCGTAGCTCAGATTATAAGCCCGCACCACCACGCCCAGTGAATTTTTGTATTTTTTGTAGAGACGGGGTTTCGCCATGTTGGCCAGGCTGGTCTCGAACTCCTGACTTCAGGTAATCCCGCCTCGACCTCCAAAAGTGCTGGGATTACAGGCGTGAGCCACTGCGCCTGGCGATCTTATTCTTTTTATGGCTGAATAGTACTCCTTGTTTATATGTATTACATTTTCTTTATCCATTCATCTGTTGGTGAACACTTGGGCTTCTTCCAAATCTTAGCTATTGTGAACAGTGCTGCAACAGACGTGAGAGTGCAGACATCAATTCCATATACTGACTTCCTTTTTGGTGGGTTATGTACCTTGGAGTGGAATTGCTGGATCATGTGGTAACTCTATTTTTTTGCTTTTTGAGGAAACTCCAAACTTGAACAATGTGGATTTGAATGGTGCGGGTGCACTTATACATAGATAATGCAGATAAAAAATACAGTATTCTTGGAATGCAAAACCCTTCTATATGTATGGCTGACTTTTTATATCCTTGGGTTCCAGAGGGCCTACTGTGGACTTGAGTATGTGTGGATTTTGGTATATGTGGGGCTGGTGGGTGCTGGAACAAATTCCCTGCATACCAAGGGACAACTGTAAGTAATTATGCATGGTGCCTGGGGTACTTCATTAAAAAAATATTTTTAAATGGAAAATTGAAAACATATACACTATAGAATCTCCATGTACCTAACACCCAGCTTTAACAATTATCCACATTTTGTACATCCTTTTTCATTTATCCTCTTCTTTCTTAGGGGTAGGAAAGAGTACTTTAACATAAATCTCTGACATATCTTTTTACCCAAGTTTATAAGTATGAGAAGGACTTTTTTTCCTTCATAATCACAATGCCATCATTATGCATAACAAATTACCTTACTGCTTAATGTCATGTAAAGCCATGTTATACTTTTCCTAATTCTCAAAAATGCATTTTTAACTGATCTAAACACAATCCGAATATGACATTTAGTTGATATATATCTCTTAGATCTTTCTCTCTTTTTTTTTTTTAGACGGAGTCTTACTTTTTTGCACAGGCTGTAGTGAAGTGGCATGATCTTGGCTCACTGCAACCTCCACCTCCCAGGTTCAAATGAATCTCTACCTCAGCCTCCCGAGTAGCTGGAATTACAGGTGCCTGCCACTACGCCTAGATAATTTTTTTGTATTTTTAGTAGAGCTGGGGTTTCACCATCTTGACCAGGCTGCTCTTGAACTCCTGACTTTGTGATCCACCTGCCTTGGCCTTCCAAAGTGCTGGGATTACAGGCGTGAGCCACCGTGCCCAGGCTCTTAGATCTCTTTTATTTAAAATGGCATTTTTATTTTATTTTACTTAAGTTCCAGGATACATGTGCAGAATGTGTCGGTTTGTTACATAGGTATACGTGTGCCATGGTGGTTTGCTGTACCTATTGACCAGTCATCTAGTTTCCCTCCCCTCGCCACCCACCCCCAACAGACCCTGGTGTGTGTTGTTCCCCTCCCTGTGTTCATGTGTTCTCATTGTTCAACTCCCACTTATGAGTGAAAACATGCATTGTTTGGTTCTTCTGTTCCTATGTTAGTTTGCTGAGGGTGATGGCTTCTAGCTTCATCCATGTCCCTGCAAAGGACATGAACTCATCCTTTTTTGTGGCTGCATAGTATTCCATGGTGTATATGTATCACATTTTCA